GAGGCTGAGAATAGATGTTCTGAGTTGGATCCAGTTGATGTAACTATTATTTCTCCTCTCTTTTGGCTCTTTTCTGCCCTGGTTCATGTTACACCTATCTCGTCTTCTCTCCCTCCTCCTCTGCTGCTGCTTTCTCATTTCTCTCTATTCATCTCCTCTCTTCTTCCTCCCCTTCTCTCTCCTCTGACTAGGCTCAACTCACTCCAGTATTTTTAGTATTTGTGAGTAGGCGTTGCCAGGTCCTTATGAATTTTCATGGGTTTGTTTAGTGTGTAGGCTGACACACTGCTCCTCTCTCTCCCTCTTCGTTTTATTCTATCTCGAACACACACAATCGCAGCAGTTTAGGAATACAAAAGTAAATGCAAACACACACACACTCACACACACAAACATGCACGTGTTAAGTGTGTAGGCAGGCTGCTGGTTAATGAGGATGTTTGGAGACTCGGGAAGAGCCAACAGCCTACAGCAGGCCTGTCAAAGTCAATGCTATCACTTCCTTCGGCGTCCATCAACCACTTCTCTGACTTACTCCTCTTGTTTTCCTTCTGACTCCTCTCAAGCCGCGGGGTTGTTCAGATGGAGATGTTTCTTAATCCAGGAAATTAATTATCTTCATTTATCTGCTTCATCTCACACCCCGAGAGTACGGCTATAAGTGGTACGATGCCCACTCTGATACATTTGTGATATATTTGCGTGTGGAGCCTTGGGATTGGGTTCGTACCTTTAGGAGCATGCACGTGTATTGGTGACTTTATTATGTGCTGCATGTTACTGCTTGAATTCATGTATTCTGCTCCTGTGTGTTATAGTAATTGCATTAGAGCTTGACATGTGGAGTGGCTCAATTCTATTAATTAAATAAGAGGTAGGAGCTTGTGTCTGAGTGTGTGCTGTTACTCTGTCCATTAGATATGAACAGATGGATCACGTCAGGAAGAATTAGGCTGCTGTGGTCCTCACACCCACTCTGAAGAAGCGACACACACACACACACACAAGCACACACTAACGCAGGCCCGGGCTGATGCTCTTTGGTACGTTCAGGAATCTTTTCCATAAAAGCCATTTTAAATTAAGAAAAACTCCTCCTGCCTTTGTTCTCTGCTCTCCTCCTTCCCTTCTGGCTGCAGCTGGTCTATGGCTTGTGACAGATCCTCCAGCCTCGGTGTGTACTGTGTTGCAACGTGAGTGTGTGTGTGTCTATGTGCTCCTCTCTGCTCCCCTCTTCTGTCCCACTTCAGCCTAGATTAGAGCGTCCGTCTCCTGAGGGAGACAAAAATATAAAAAATAAAGCTTTTTTTTAAAAACCAGAACACTGATCTAAACACACACCCGTATATATACACACTGCACGTGCACTTTCGGCGTGCATTATGAAAGCCTACGGAGAGTGGTGCAGAGAGAGCCCTCTGCAGCAGAATCCCAAAAAGCTCTTTTCTCTGAGTAGTTTGAAAATGGCCGAGATGGGAGCACAGACACTCGTCCCACACAGACAGAAAATAAAGCACAACAAATGTCCTGACAGATCAGAAATAAACCCATAAAAACTTTTTTTTGTTTTGGTTTCCAGGTTTGTATATGATGCTCTGGCTGTCTGTTCTTTAGTTAGGATACACAGATATAATACATAAACAAACAAAAAGGCCAAACAAGTAGAAAAATGTAACCTTTACTTATTTACAGATTGTACAGAGGTACTGAGTGACAAGGTAGTATTTACATCACAACTAGTAGCTTAGAAACCCCTGAACTGATACACAAGTGAAATACACAGAGGGGAGACCCGCAGGACTACACACCAACACACTCTTTCTACCCATTACTGCATGAATGTTTCTGAACAGGTGGACCCAGCTAAAATCTGTGCTGGGTCTGATGGCTGGTGTTGTGCGGGAGCCAGCCGGTAACCATACTGCTCACATCACAGGCCAGGAACTGCTGAGAGTGGGGCTTTGACCGGAAATGGTGCACGAGCACAGTTGGGGTCGAGGGAGTCTGTGTTGGTGCGTGTAGCCTAGAAGGTGCAAATCAGGGAGAACTTAAGTGCTGCAGCAAAGGAGGTACCACCAGAAACACGAGCACATCATGCAATAAAAAAAAATAAGAAAAAAGAAAACAAGTAAAACAATAAATTGTTGTAAAAATCCCTGGTGTGGTAGGACGTACAAAACTCATTCCTCATGCTCCCTTTAGCACAACAGTACAGACGCATGTGTGCGCGCTTGTGAGTGTGTGCATGTGTGCGACTGTGTTTGTGTTATATGAGT